ATATACCTAAGCATCTTCATCATTAAACAAAATATTGCAGGTGTAGAGAAAATACTTATACAGAAAAAAATACCCTACTCGACCAACTTAATTTTTCCAAGTCTTTTATCAAATTTATAATTTTTTTCACTTGTTGAAACTCATGACATGGGAATACTCACACTGTAAGTGTATTAAGTTTTGAGGGGATTGGGCTGCTATGCGCAATACAAAAACAGAATTAGTTTGAAATCACCAGTTAATTCTGTATATTAAATTACCTATCTGAATGCGGCAATTCAGATCACATGCTGGTGGAGCTGTTCACAGGAAGAGACCTCTAGAGATCACCTAGTTCTATTTATCAAAAAAATCCTGTGAATATTCTTACAATAAATATATATGTATACCTTAGAGGGATAAATCCCCATGACATGAACTGTATGTTTTTATTTCCTACTCATTAGATTGGGAATATAGTCAATTAGATAAAACAAGCACTTTCTCTTTTTTTTTTTTTTTCCCATAAGATACTAACAGAAAAACAAAGAAAAGGTATTTTCCAGAAAAGGACAATGAGAATAGTTGTATTTTGTCATGCAAAAGTCAAATACTCTAGACAATCAATAAATGAGATTTATAACTTCTAAAATGAGGTTTAATTAAAATTTCTGCAAGACTCATAAATGCAACATATAGTTATATACTGCTTCCATCAAACCATAACTGAAGTGGAAAAATCTTTGAATAAATTAGCATATTTTGAGTTATGCACAAATGTATTCTTATATGGATAGGTAGTGTGATGGGTGAAACTGTCTTTGAGCTGTAACATTATCAGAGTTATTTTCTTACTGTCATTGTTGCCTCATTTGCTAACAGCAATAGGGAAAAAAGGTGACTGAGAAATGTTTTCCCAGTAAATGTCACAAATATGAAGCTTCCCATTTAAAGCTACGGTACGTATCCAGGGACGCTTTTGTGAAGGCACAACTTCCATTTACACTTTCTCTGATATACAGCTGGGTAAGAAATGTTTGTAAAAAAATCTTTCACTTTTCTGCGAAAATCTAGTAGTTTCCCAATGCAGAGTTCTATAGGTTTGTTATTTTTTATGAACATAATCAACCAAAATGAAAAGATCATTAATATTTACATTTAGCACAGAAGCATCTTTTCTGCAGCAAATGCATTATCTAAGTATTCTTAAAATGGAAATGTGCCATAGCTCAGGGACATTTTTAAAACTGTGAGAGACCTATCAATGGACAGAAGAGAAAGACAGACCACATGTTGAGTGCATGCTTGATAGTCTGTGCAATTTATTGTGAAGTACCACTTGTACTAGGCCTGCCATAGAGCCATTGGTTTGAAAGGTTAATGACTGAAGCAATCACAATTTCAATTTACAAGAAATGGGATGAGAGTAAGCCAAATACAAAATGGAAAGGTCCTACTGTGATGGCAGCTGAGCAACAATTCATCAACAAGAGTGCAGGAAGACTGTAAAACCAGAGTGCTGGGGATGAACTTTTGAGACTGAGGAGGATTTAGGACTTCTGTTAAACGCATTTTTCAAGGATAGTATAGAAACTTCAAAATGGCTAAATCACCAAATACAGGCATAAGTTCATGCTTTCTCTTATAATAGGCCCTAGGTCATCTGAAAGTGCTTGTCCCACCTTCTGTTTTCTTTAGTGTATCTCCTGCATTTTAAATGTTGACCTTGACTGCTACCAAAATAGCCATTGTCATGGCAAGCATTTTAGAGATATTTGGGCCTTTCCTGCATTACACTCTACTCTCACGTCCTAGAGCATCAGCTATACTACAGTGTGATGTGAGAAATTGTAAGGCTTGCAGGTGTGTACATATACACAGAAATGCTTCTGAGACCCTATGCTCCTTTTGCCTGAATTACATTTGCCTGGATTTGGCATGTAATTTGTCTACACTAAAAAATCAAATTCATGAAAATATCCTTAAAGGTTTACAAGGGCAGCCAGTGACAGGACAAGGGGGAGTGGCTTTAAACTGACAAAGAGATTTAGATTAGATGTTAGGAAGAAATTCTTCACTATGAGAGTGGTGAGACACTAGAAGAGGTTGTACAGAGAAGCTGCAGCTGCCGCATCCCTGGAAGTGTTCAAGGCCAGGTTGGATAGGGCTTTGAGCAACCTGGTCTAGTGGAAGGTGTCTCTGCCCCTGGTAGAGGGGTTGGAACTAGATGATCTTGAAGGTCCCTTCCAACCCAAACCATTCTGTGATTCTATCTGTTGATAAGATCAACCTGAGCTTCTCTTTTTGAGGCTGATCAGACCCAGCTTTTAAACTTTCCTAGCAGGAGACGTGTTCAAGTCCCTTAGTGACCCTTCGCTGGACCCTCTCCAGTATGCTGATGCCTCTGTTACTAGGAAGCCCATAACTAGACACAGCACTCCAGGTGTGGTCCCACCAGTGCTGAGCAGAGGGGAAGAATCACCTCCCTACACCTGCTGGCAATACCTTTCCTAATGCTCCCCAGGATAGTTTACCTCCCTTGCCACGAGGGCACATTGTTAGCTTGTGCTCAACAAGCAATGCTGCTTTCTAGCTTGGTGGTTACCAGCATATATTGGTGCATGAAACACACACGTAAAACATACATGGGAGGGGATATTGGCAGGATAACATTCAGCTGGATCCAAAAGAAGTGGAATGAGAAGAGAGGTGGCCTGTTGCAGGCAGAAGCGGGTGACTGATCACTGTCAGGGAAAGACAGGAATTGTGATCTAGCACCAAATTTTGCAGTAGAAACGGATCAATATAACAAACAAAACAAACACAAATTCAACTGAAAGTTTCGAAATCCTTCATTTCTGAAGTCTCTCAGCTAAAGATTATGTCTTTAAACTGATTTATAACAGTCACTAGCCTGGGCATGCTTTACAGCATTTTTGAAAGTAATTGAAACTTTGCAATTATATTAAATACAAAAAAATCCTGAAGCTCATGCTTATTAATTTTATATGGTCAATGATATTTATACATGCATGTCTTGAATTATCATGTACTGATAAGGAAATGAAACACCCGAATAAAAATGTATTACAACGTATTACCATAGACACTCTTTTGATGTAAGTAGAACTTACATCTTAGAACACACAAGCATATAAACATCTGGAGTCCTCTTTTCAAAAAATTATAAAAAGGTAATCAACTAAAATACTTCCTTATAACCTATTCCCTTTTTCCATACCTCATATTACACAGAGAATTATCAAGGTCTTTCATTTCTGAGAGTCTAAAAATAATCATTCTTGGAGAAACAGACAGAAGGCTTATTTTATCCGTTATACTTTGTACCTTTTTGCCTTAGATCTAGGGACATTAGTTAATGATTTGCAATGCCTAGGGAATACTGGAATACTGTCACTAGCAGGGGAATGTTCTCTGGTACCCTGAGGAAATGAAGGGCTTTTAAGAGCAATCACTGTTAATCACTAACACGCCAACATTATATACCTTCTGAAACTGAGGATGATATATAGACAGGACGCATTAAGTGACTCCATATTTTACTTGCATTGTAAGCTTCTGATAAAAGTGTATTTTTAAAACATCCCTTTGCATGGCTTCCTTTCATTATAAAATACATGTTAACTAAGAATTCTGCAAGATTTACACTTGTCCTTGTACAAGCTATTGAAAATATTCCCTCTGATTCCACAGTTGACCTTTATTGTCTTTTTAGCATTATTATACTTTGTTACACAATTTCATTTGAATAGTAAATGTCAAGGTCAAGAAGGCAACCTTTTTGTAAGGGTGAAAGAAAAAATAAATCTAAAGGTGATAAATGCAATTAAATTCATCTTTACCTTCAACTCAGCAGAAGACTTAGCACCTTAGCACAGCTGCAGTATTCACAACTGAGTCCACAAATTACACACAAATTATTCACAAGCAATTTCTATTATTCATTTTTTTTATACCAAGTATTTTCTATCCAATGTTACTTGCATGTAATATCCTACAGAACTGTTAATCACATGAAAGATAGTAGAGGAAAACAGAGAAAAAGCTTTTTTTTTTACCAGTTAGTTTGTTGGGGTTTTTTTTAACATACAGTATTAATAAAATCAGGGCACCTCTTAATTTTAGTATAGAGCCAGAATTTAATATTAATTACTAAAACCTTTTTGTATCTTTTATCTCTGCTGTTCTAACCATGGATGCCTCACATATCAACAACAAACCCAGCACCACAGGACAGCAAGTACATGCTGGAAAAGAAGACAGACTGTACCCATGTACTGAGGTCCTCAGTGGGGATCCCGGCCAACTAAAAATGTTTGCCCTGACAGTAGGATGTAGATATCTTATATTGCTATGAATGACTCCTAGTAAAGGGATCAAACTAATTTACAGATTTAGATTACAGAACTAGAAAGAACTAAAGAAGTCACTTGCTGCTGTTCCCTGCCAACTAAAAATGTTTGCCCTGACAATAGGATGTAGATATCATATATTGCTATGAATGACTCCTAGTAAAGGGATCAAACTAATTTACAGATTTAGATTACAGAACTAGAAAGAACTAAAGAAGTCACTTGCTGCTGTTCCCCTAACAAAAAATCCCTCTAGTGCAGTTTAAACCAACTACTTCTTGTGATAGCTACTGTGAACACAAAAATCAAAATCTTTCTTCTTTACCAAACAAATTCTTCAGGACTTACATTCTCTCCCATTATTGCATTTTTAGACAAATTACCTCAACACAATTTTCAATCTGTATTTGAGCAAAGTCCTATTATACTAAACTATAATTGTTTTCTTCTGGATACTTTTCTAATTTGTCTACATCTTTTGGTCATTAAACAGCCCAGTTGTTGCAGAGTGGTTGTTTCTTCACTTGACCAGACATGCAATATTTAGCTACTGATCCCATAAGCTCCAGTGTCAGTCATTCTCATATTGATGGAACTGCAGTGACCTGTCTGGTAAACAGATGGTAAGTTAAAAAAGGAAGTGCTTACATTCTTGAAACCTCTATATAAGATCTGAAGTTCCTTCTTTGTGAATTTACTCTGTGCTTCCAGCAGTTCAAGAGCTTCAGGTCTATGTCGTACTGTGGCCATTTCCATTTCATCTTCTACAGTGTCTGCAGAATACAAGATATGGAAAAGGAAAGCTCAACAAGAAATACAGGGTACAGAACTATCTAATCCTTGGAGAGAAAAAAAAAAAAAGTTAAATGACATACTCTTACACAACAGCTTTTGCAACTTTAAAGACAAATGACATGTTCATTTTAAACTCATAGGGAAAGGGTACCTGATCTGCTTCTGTGGCTGCACAGAACAGGGAACAGCAATGATGATCCAGTGGTCTGGATATTATCACATCAGTACAAATAGCAATAAACTGAAAAGCCAACATTCTGCAAGGGTATGCATGACACATTCAGTATGGCTTTTTTGTTTCTATCACTCTTGGAACAAAGAGAGCAATTTTATTAAACTTCAGTGACTCCAGGATACTAGAATTTTTTCCTTGGTTAGTTAATAGATGTGAATTCACTGTATCAGACTGGGATTTTCAGTGTCCTCCTTTTACTGTGAAGTTGTGCTTTGGAAAGCATGTGAGAATGATGTTGCACATTCAACAGTAGACCTTACTTTCAGTATGGTATAGCAAACTTTCAGTATGGTATAACAACCTTTAAGGCAAACATGATTATTTGTGGTTAGCAGCCTAAATGGGGAACAAGATGACTTCACTGACTCATCAACAGGTGAATAAGAATGTGGTTATTCACATTCAAGGCTTATAGTTGGCTGCAGCCCTAAACAATGAGAGACAGCAATGCATTTTTTCCAGGTAGCGTTTTAAATCTGAAAGTTCAATGCAATAGCTAAAGAAACTTACAGTATGATTTTTTTTTTCTATAGGGTGCCAACCATATGCCTGATAAAAATATGAATGTGCGTATCCATCTTAAGTACTCCCAGTATTATTGTGTAGTACTGTACACTAATTTAATTAAATCAATGCCTTATTATGGTTTAAGAGTTATACTGACTATAGAAATGTAACTTGAGACAGCATGTTGAATTGTCACTTCCACAATGCTGAAGATATGCATTTTATTTTATCAGTGTGTGGGACTGCGTTCTTAAAATAAGTTTTATTCAGTTCAGTTTTCATAAGAGCACAATATTAGGATACTGCATTAAAACAGTACTATGCTTACATCTTCACATATTTCCATTGTGCTACAATGTAGTAATAATAACTTTCAGCTGATTGGGAAAAATCTGACATCAGAATATATAGTTCAGTTAAATAAAAAAAAAATGAACACACTAAATAGAAATAATCATAATATATAAACTATTTGGATAAGTCTTCACAAAACTGTATAGCCTTGTCTCTTCTTTGGCAAAGAGATGCTGCTATTAGCACTCATCTGAGGAACATAATATTGGCGTAACCCAGATACTCAGTGTCACACACGGTCTTATATTAGAATGTCCACTGGTTTTTAGATTATGGATAAACTATAATATGTTTCTTTTTTGTTTTTCATTACAGATTACCTCATGTGACTCGTAGACCACTATCGTCTTTGTGAAAATTTCCAAACTAAATGCTATTGACAAAAACAGTAACTGTCACAACTTTAACAGACTTTATGATGCTTGATAATAGTTTTAAAGGGCCAGTATCTGCACTCACAAGATTATAAAAAAAAAATTCAGCTCTTTAAACGCAATCCAGAGGTGCAAAGAGGTCCTGCCTTTATAGATGAACCTGGAATAAAGTAGTGCCAAAGCTAAGAAACTGTCTTCCTAACCTATGGAAGGTGTGGCAAAGTACTTGAGTCCCATTTTAATTCTGCATAAAACATCCAGGGGAAGCTGAGATTGGATATAAGGAAGAAATTCTTTCCTGTTAGGCTGGTGAGGCACTGAAATGGGTTGCCCAGGGAGGTTGTGAATGCTCCATCCCTGACAGTGTTCAAGGCCAGGTTGGACAAAGCCTTGGGTGGCATAGTTTAGTGAGAGGTGTCCCTGCTCATGGCAGGGGTGTTGGAACTTGATGATCTTAAGGTCCTTTCTAACCCTAACTATTCTATGATTCTATAATTCTACAATCCAGGGTTTATTTTGAACAGTTCCTAAATCCTTTCCATCATGTTTTAAGGGATTAATCTTTTTATATTCTCTATACAGTCACTGAAGTATCTGTAGCAATGTCAGGCTGTAGATATGCAGCGATTATTTTCTTTTTTTTGTCAACTGCAAGTCAACACCAGGTGCTTATTCTAAATTCACAAGAGAATCAAACTGAGAATAAACATACTTGAAGTCACTTATATTTTATATTCCAAGAGTTATATAGAATTTAAATGGACCACTGTTTAGACAGAAGGGGACTTAACTGGAAATGAGCTCCCTGAGCATCCATTCATGAAACATCTGGCTACCTAGAGAGACACCTACAAGCTTTTCTAGAAGCAAAATGAATACACATAACAAATACAAGGCTAGAGATAAAGGCCAGACAATGTGATGCTGAGTACAATGTTTGGCATTTCCTTAATAATAAACATTTTTATAGTGTTTTAATGATACGGTGATAATGTAGAAGACTGCAGTGTGGTGATGATGCTTTTCTGTAATTAAAAGGTTCACTATAACACTCTTTTCACACTCTGTTTCTCTAGACTCTGACAGATATAAACAACCAAAAAATAAAATCACCATAAACTTCCTTATAATGTGGCAAGTATGCAGCTTAAAATACTATAGCATTTATGAGTTGCAGGAGTTTAAGTTTTTTCTTCACACTTATGGCTACCATCATTCAGGCTGGGAAAAAACCCACAAAACTATATACATTGAAAATATACAGTGAAAACATGTGAAAATATACCTACTTCCAAACATTAATGTTTTCTACAGCATTAGCAAAACAAAAATAGTTATTTCAGTTCTGTAGTTTCTTCAGCCTAAGAAAGTTGAGGGTTCTTTATTTTATAGAAGGCTAATGTATGTAAACTGAAAAATAGAAACATGTTCATATTCACTCAATATATTGAACAAAATATTCTTACTGACTTCATTGATCAGTAGCTTTGCTCTAGCTAAATAGTAAGGACAGTTTTTAATGTATTTCCCACAGGAGCTATGCTTTGAACCTTTCATTATTCATTTAAGAACAAAATGGAAAAAAGCAATGCAAAAAGCACACATATTCTTCAAATAATGGCAGCTGGAGAGGCATGTCCAAAGTCAGGCCACAATTCATATCTGTAAAAATTGTGCACATGCATTTGCCTGCACAAAACCCAAATTATAGCTCCCAAATCTATCTAATAACTGCATGCAAACATGCTTTTCCTTTCCAAAACCATTCTTGAGTAATCCTATCTCTAGCACATGCTTTTTGCTAAAGAAGGATGGATTTAGTTTAATTTTACTAAGCTAAAACACAAGTAACCTTTGTCTACATATATTCATAGAAGTTAAGAGCAGAAGTGCAAATTCATGCTACTTATATTTCAACAAAGTACTAGTTTTAAAAATATTCCCCTTAAAATTTCTAAGGAATTCATATTATGTGGTCGTTATTGTAGGTAGTGTAGGCTTCATTCCTAGTACATTATCACGTTGCTTATTTCATGTTAGCAGAAATCAAATATCACATTATGTCAAAGTGGTATAATAACAATGTGTGGCTACAATGATATTCTTATTTACTGTAATATTTTCACTTAGTATAACATTCATACTTAACACTTCATTATTGATGAGTACATGGAAAAATGTCAAATTAATCTGGTTTTATGTTTTGTTTCTCCAATATGAAATATTTAATACAAGGTGAGGTTTATTCCTTATTATTCAAACCAATTTTTGATTCTATGACACCTTTTATAGTCTAAAACTATATTATACAGGCCTTGTAGCTGAAAGCAATTTTTACATAATTAATTCCTACTGGGTGTTATGACAGTAATGGACCAGTTTAACCTATCGTATTTTCAAATAAAAGACCAGTTGAAGACAACATGAAAAAAAATCACATCTTTAGGTCTCATCTTTGAGACCTCAAGCACTTTGAAAAGAAAGCAAGCACCACTGTCTTCTCTCTAGAGAAGCATGAAAGGCAGTGATCTGGGACAGCAAAATGAAAGCCTAGATCCATACCAGACACACTTAATAGGGTCCTGTGTTCATACCCAAGTTGCCTTTGGTTTTCAAGTATTGACTGGACATGGGGATCTGCTTCTGGAAGGTTTTTTTTCACCTTGATTAAGATGCTTTATCAGAAGAGGAACCACATATATAGGCACCACATATAGGAACCACAAGGACCACTGATCTTCTAAATTTAAGTGCTTAGATTAGTGCCTAGAATAAAGCCAAATTAATCTAGACCAAAATGGGTACACAAGGATATTTTAAAATCATTTATAGCAGCCAATTTATAAAGGAAGACATTAGTTTTACTACTAAAATTAATCTCTATGTTTATGTACCTTTGTAAGGCTCACTTTCTCCTTCACTTCCCCTGTTTTTACCTGTTAGCTATCCTAGAGAAATGTTACTTCCTCACAGCATATCAAAACATTAAAGGTAGCGTCAGTGTGCTTTTCCTGTATCTCCATATTCACATACTTTTTTTCAATCTCATTATTTTTCTCTCTAACACAGACTTTAAGTGCCATTCTCTAAATAGTTTGATTTAGTCAAAACCTGCTGAGCCAAGTCTTTCCTCCCAGACTAGTACTGTGATACTACCATGTGTATTGGATAGCAATCATACGCAGATACATGCACACGCCTAAATGAAAAGATACCACTTTTCAAATACATTGAGAGCAGGTATTTAACTGAATCACTTCCAGAGCATACATGCCAACCCAGCAGCTCCTACGCAGCAGCCCCTGGCGTTGGTATACTGCCACAGTGCTCTGCACAGACAAATCTGTTACCAGCTCACAAATCTGTTCATCACTTTATTTTAAACTGCAATAGAGCATACATTTATTTCAACAGGTATCTTGTCTCTCAAATTAGCATTTAATGAAAGTATAATTTTTGGTGCATGCAACCTAAAAAAAAATAAATAAATCAAATTAAAAATAAAACTTGCTTTGAGTAACAGGAGAGGTCGTTTTGGCAGCCGAGCAGGGCAAGAGCTTCATAAGTCGCTCTTTAATACTGCGTTTGGCACTGTTCTGAGCGTAGAGGAAACCTAAAAAATATATTATCAGGACTGTTAACACAGGCTTGAGAACAATTTCTGTACATGCTGCAGAATTCATCATTATGCAGTACCCTGATGGGAAAAGGACAAATAGACTGCAGCCATCCTGAATTGCAAAAGGCAACCCGAATTTTTGAAGAGGACAACAAAATTATATTGTCTTTGTATCTTTCCAATTAAGGGGATTTTTTTTTTTTTATAAGTGCACATCTCTTGTAAGGTTCTTATAACCCACTTCAAAACAGCTAACAGAGAAGTATCAGATTATGTATTTGAAACAACACAAGCTAAGAGTGTTCATAAAAAATTTAAAGCTAAAATACTTAAAAGATAAGTCAAGTCTATTTCATTTTGAAGTTTAATATGGAAAACAAAACCAAAACCAAATAAAATCCCCAAGATATCTTTTGTTGTCCTTTCTGGCAGTTTTCTAGTTCTACAGCTGAGTTTTCCCATATATGTCATTTGGCAACTGTAATAACCAACCTGGTACTTTTGCCTTTTCTGAATATTGAAATGTCTACCCTGATGTGTAGTAAGTCTCCCTTTCCTTTAATATTTGCCATTCTACATATAAACAAAAGTATTATTTATACATCCATCCTTAAATGCTGACATGGCTGAACAGTCAATGTGCAATTGCTGTAAAGCAGGTGAACAGGATTACCCTTACTTATTGTGAAGGAACTTATCAGAGCAACTGCTTGTAAGGCCTTGATAACCATTTTATACAAAATTGGTGACATAAGCAAGCATCCACTGAACAGATATTTACTGCAAATTACAGATTTAACATCTGTAAAACAGATGAGTAAATTATTTTTGCTCCTGAGAAAGGAAGAGCTCAGTTTAGATATTATGCAACTCCCTCACTTTTCATATCGATTGCATGTGCTCAAACGCAAAAGCTGTTCTGCCATGGCTCTTGCTACAGCAGCATGAGTGTAAAACAGGTGGAGCAAGAAATCAAACACATGACTGAAAGTTGCTGTTCTAGCAGCACAGTCACCAGGATAATCCTTTGTTGAGAAAGTACATACATGTATTTGGGAACAGAAGGAGAAAGTGAGAAAGCTTCAACTTTGTAAATGAAAAAAAAAAAAGGAAATTACTCAGTTTGCATATCAGTAAAACACTGGGGGAAATGAAATTAAAAAAATGGGGAAAGCTAGGAAAGACTTAACCACAGCCTTAAAAAATCAACTATTACCAGGTAAAGTCTGCCCCTCAGAGAACAGGAAGTCTGGTGAATGGATGAAACAATCCAGTCTCGTCATAAGGTCAGATGGACCTAAATAGCCTTCTCTGGAAATGTCAAAACCTTTTAATATGACTAATAAGAATGAATGCACTCATTATTTGCAGCATTTAACTATCAGCTCAACTTGGAAACACTATGCAGATAAATGCATAAAAAAGAAGGCACTCCGTGATCCAATGGGTATCTCAAACTCCATATTTTTAGTTTGAGAACAAATCCTGAGCTTTTAAATGCGTATACCTTGTGGTCTCAGCTGGCAGTATCTGCAGTATCATGCTAATCCTGTACTGTAGGTATCTGAACACAAAGCAAATCTGTTACTCTTAAAGATTTTTTTTTATGTATTAGGAATTCTTCTAGCATAGGCATGATCTAGAAATACCTACTTCTAGCTTATGAATTTGAGTTGAGGTTTGCAAAAGTTTAATGTCCATGTACTACTTACATAATTACATAGGTCCACAACATATGTAATTACTGAAGATGTATACAGTGTTTTGCAAAACTTAAAGGGATGTATTATTTCCAAAGTCTTGAAGCTCAAAGCCCTGAGTAAGCAAACAGTTTTGCTACTCTTATGCTCACAAAAGCTCATGGAATTCAATGCAGATCATATGGGCTTTGCAGTAGTATGATCACAGTCAAAGATAAAATATATGAGAGAGAGTTCTATCAGAGGAGTAACTTAGGAGGACAGTATAATTCTTGTACTCACTTCTGGCAGCTAACTTAAGATGTTGATAATATGATCAGGGCAAAGGTTTACCTTCTCACAGCATCAGAAAGCAGCATGAAACCTTTTGCTTCCAGTGGCTGCAGTCAGTTTGTCCTGCAGCTGTTGCAGTCCACTGTCATGACAGTGTGGATCAGCACTACACTTTTCAATGTGACTTTTCTTGAGTAAAAGGCTATTTAATACAGAGAAAACATGTTTCACACTCGGCCTATGCTGAGCCAGTGTTTAATACACGTTGAAACACTAAAAGTGTTAAAATGAAATGATGTAATATTCTGTAGCTATTTTCCCAGTTTGAAACACATTGAGGAAAAAGTTGTGGCCATTATGAAGCTAATTAATCTACTACAGAAGCACCAATACACTGATAATGATGGACTGATATTGCTTCCTGCAAACTTTCAGAGTAGAGTAATCGTAATTCTTAGCCTCAAAATGATACTCAGACACAAAATTTTCCAAACTCTTCTTGATTTTTTTTCTTTAATAATTGGTTGAGTAGAAATTTCATAGCTGTTATTCCCAACCCAATCAGCTGGAAACTCCTCTGGGCTAAATGTGAAGATTCTTCAAATTTAGGTTAGTTAAATAGTGCTGCTTGCTCTTGGGCTTGATAAGTTACTCCTTTGCAATGAAATTCAAACTGTGAGACACACTTTCCCCAGAATTCACTGTGGGAATGTCCTAGAACTCACCTCCATATGACACTACCTGGAATTGTGTGTAATTGTTCTAAGAGGTGCCTCACCTTCACAAAACACTCTGTAACTGGAACACAGCTTACTTATTTAAGTACTGCTGTAGTGATATAGGTGCTGCGTATAGACATTGGGCACACTAGACACTTCAGGAGTGACTGCTATTTAGCATGATTTCTACCTCCACTTACAACTGATAAATGCATCAATGGCTTAAACCCGATTTACAGATATTTAAACTACAGAACTCTAACCCTACCACTTTATTATTAAACATTCAGTAGCGAGAGCACCATGTATACTTATGATCACTAGAATTGTTTTCTAAATTCTTACTTTTAAAAAACGTATTCGGTTCTGTGTGCGACCTAGTCAGTCCAATAGCACAGTGATGACAGGCTGATGTAGATCTAATTGATGAAGAAGTGATTGAGAGCAGCCCTGAGGAGGAGGACTCCGGGATGCTGGTTAAGAAGAAGCTCAACATGAGCTGGCAGTGTGCACTTGCAGCCCAGAAAGCCAATCGTATCCTGGGCTGCATCAAAAGGAGTGTGACCAGCAGGTTGAAGGAGGTGATCCTGCCCCTTTATTCTGCTCTCATGAGACCCTACTTGGAATGCTGTGTACAGTTCTGGTATCCTCAACATAAGAAGGACATGGAGCTGTTGGAGCAAGTGCAGAGGAGAGCGAATATGATGAAAGGACTGGAGCACCTCCCATGTAAAGATAGGCTGAGAAAGTTGGGGCTGTTGAGCCTGGAGAAGAGAAGGCTGCGTGGAGACCTCATAGCAGCCTTCCAGTATCTGAAGGGGGCCTACAAGGATGCTGGGGAGGGACTCTTCATTAGGGACTGTAGTGACAGGACAAGGGGTAATGAGTTTTAAACAGGGAAAGTTCAGGTTAGAAATAAGGAGGAAGTTCTTTACTGTGAGGGTGGTGAGGCACTGGAATGGGTTGTCCAGGGAGGTTGTGAATGCTCCACTCCTGGTGGTGTTCAAGGCCAGGTTGGACGGAGCCTTGGGTGAGATGGTTTAGTGTGAGGTGTGGCAGGGGGGTTGGAACTAGGTGATCTTAAGGTCCTTTCCAACCCAAACCATTCTCTGATTCTATGATAATAGTGCTGGTTACAAAAAAATACACAAAGAATTACAAAAATATTTCCTAATTAATTAAAAATTAATAACGTCATAAAAGACTTTAAAATACTAGGAAAAAAGATGTGTTAGAATATAAAAAAATATCATTTGTAAATAATAAGTGATTTATAAATGACCATATATTCCTAACCATATACATCTATTCCTATGCTATCTTAACTCTACATATCCACTTTTCTTCAGACTTATGATACCTAATTTAGAAAGACATATATATGACATTTTGCTCTGTTATTACAGACAGGTGAGACTACCCCAGGAAAGTCTATCAAGCCAAGAGATTTTTTTCAGGATTTTCAGAGGAAAAGTATTTCTCTTTCTAAACGTGATGGTTTTCTTTGTAAATTGCTTGTATTCATGAAAGTGAGGGCAGGTAGGACACTTTTTGCTGATGTGGCAGACAGATGTGTCTCCCATCCCCACTAAGTGCACAGGATGGACTGTGCCATGGTTGCCCTTGGCCCCAAAGTCCTGCCCACCTTTCCTGCCTGCATCAAATGCCGTGTATTCAAAGAAGCACTCTCCTGCCCTCCCTCCAGCCTCATTGCTGCCTTTTTGTAATAGGAATTGGGTAGTATGCTTCAGCATAGTTGGCATTTATCTGAGTAATCTGAGTTATCTGAGTAGGCAGTTATCTGCATGTGGGGCAGGTAATCATCCTATTTAATAGGAAGTTCAGAAATTAGAAACAGTTCTCCCAATAAATTCTTCCTTCACTGCCAGTGGAAGAGAAAAGGCACCTGTAAAGATACCTCTTTTCTCCCCACTCTTTTTCCCTCCATGTCTTTTTTACTTTTGTTTACTTTCCTCCTTTTCAAAGTCTCTGTCCCTTATTTGACAAAGGCAGCAGATGAGCTTCCACTGTTTAAGTCTCACTCAACAGAGTATCCACACACAGAAGTATCCACTATTCCTTGGCTACATCCAGTGTCTATGCAATACAGCTAAACTCCCAGTAGTTATGGAATCTGTATTTTGTTCACCTACAGAATTATGTATCTTTCCATAATAATGGGAAAAATGCCTATCTTGTATTAGTTCTGAATGTGACCTTTTTGAAGAGGGTTAGTAGAAGACCTGAAAGCCAAGCTGCACCAGGCACTTTCCTAAATGAAAAGTTTTGGTAGGAAATTACA